TTTTTTTTTGTGGTTGATTCTAATTTCATAGTGTTGTGGTTGGAAAAGATGCATGGTATGACTTCGATCTTTTTCATTTGTTGAGACTTGTGTTGTGGCCTACTATGCAATCTATTCTAGAGAATGTTCCATGTACACTTGAAAAGGATGTGTATTCTGCTATTTTAGGATGGAGTGTTCTGAATATATCTTTTAGATCCATCTGGTTTAATGTGTCATTCAAGGTCACTGTTTCCTTTTTTATTTTCTGTCTGAAGTATCCATTGATGTAATTCGGGTGTTAAAGTCCCCTACTATTATGGTATTACTATTGATTACTTCCTTAATGTTTGTTATTAGCAGCTGTAAGTATTTGGGTGTTCCCATGTTCAATGCATAAATCTTTATAATTATTATATCTTCTTTTTGTTCTCTTTATGATTATATAGTATCCTTCTTTGTTTCTTGTTACAGCTTTTGTCTTAATGTCTATTTTGTTTATATAAACATTGCTGTCCCAGCTTTCTTTTCACTCCATTTGCATGATAAATGCTTTTCCTTCCTGTCACTTTCAACCTGCATGTGTCCTTAGCTCTGAAATGAGTCTCTTGTAGGCAGCATATAAGTCTTCCTTTTTCATCTATTCCATTTCCCTATGTCTTTTTTTTTTTATCACCCTATGTCTTTTGATTAGAGCATTTAAACCATTTACATTTGAAATAATTACTTACAGGTATGTATTAATTGGCATTTTGTTACATGTTTTGTTTTTGTAGTTCTTTGTTCCTTTCTTCTTTCTCTCTTTTCTATCATGGTTTGCTGACTTTCTTTAGTCATATACTTGGATTCCATTCTCTTTATATTTTTCAAATTTATTATAGGTTTTTAACTTGTAGTTGCCATTATGTTTATTATATAATACTTTATGCACATATCAGTCTATATTAAGTTGATAGTAGCTTAGTTTGAACCCATTATAAAACTATAATTTATTTATCCCTTTCCCCCTATATTTTAGGTATATGGTGTCATAGTTTACATCCTTTTATTTTCTGGATCCTTTGATTTTTATCGATATACTTATTTTTACTGCTTTGTGCTTCCCACTTCTTACTCCTTCTTATGTCTTACCTACTTCTTACTCCTGTTTATGGTTTTTCCTGTCCACTCAAAGAGTCCCCTTTAACAATTCTTTACATTAAAAAAAAAATCTTTATTTATTTTTGAGAGGGAGAGAGACAGAGTGTGAGGACGGGAGGAGCAGAGAGAGAGGGAGACACAGAATCCGAAGCAGGCTCCAGGTTCTGAGCTGTCAGCACAGAGCCTCACACAGGGCTCAAACTCACAAAAGCGAGTTCATGACCTGAGCCAAAGTTGGACACTTAACTGACTGAGCCACCCAGTTGCCCTTACCCCCTTTAACAATTCTTATAGGTCTGGTTTAGTGGTCATGAATTCCTTTAACTTTTGTTTGTCTGGGAAACTTTTCATTTCTCCTTCTATTCTCAATGTTAGCCTTGCTAGATAGAGTATTCTTGGTTGTAGGTTCTTTTCTTTCAGCACTTTGAATCATGCCACTCTTTTCTAGCATGCAGTGTTTCTGCTCCTAAATCAGCTGTTAGCCTTATGGGGTTTCTTTTGTATGTAAATGTATTCTTTTGTCTTGGTAGTTTAAAAATTCTCTTTATCCTACTTTTTGCCATTTTAATTACTATGTGTCTTGGTGTGGACCTCCTTGGGTTGATTTTGTTGGGTTGTGTGCCTTCTGGATCCAGAAGTCTGTTTCCTTCTCCAGATTCAGTTAAGTTTTCCACTATTATTTTTTCAAATACATTTTCACACCTTTTTCTCTCTCTTCTTCTGGGATCCCTATAAATGTTAATCTTATTTATTAAAAAATGTTTTTAATGTTTATTTTTGAGAGAGAGAGAGAGAGAGAATGTGAATGAGGGACTGGCAGAAAGAGAGGGAGACACAGAATCCGAAGCAGGCTCTAGACTCTGAGCTGTCAGCATAGAGCCTGATGCAGGGCTCGAACTTGTGGACTGTGAGATCATGACCTGAGCTGAAGTTGGAAGCTTAACTGACCGAGCCACCCAGGTGCCCCCATAATGGTAATCTTATTATGCTTGATGGTTTCTCTGAGTTCCTTCAATATATTTTCATTTTTTATTATTCTTTTTTCTCTCTCTTCTTCAGCTTGATTGCTTTCCATAGTGTATTTGAAATTTCAGTTATTGAGTTCTTCATCTCTGGTTCTTTTTTACGTTTTCTATCTCTTAAAAATTTTTTTTCTTAAGTTTATTTATTTTGAAAGAGAGGGAGAACACACACACAAGCTGGGGAGGGGAGGAGAGGAGAGACAGAATCCCAAACCGGTTCTGCACCATCTCTTTATTGATGGTCTCACTGATGTCCTCCACTCTCTTCTCCAGTCCATTGAGCATCTTTATGACCATTACTTTAAATACAGAGAAAGACAGGTATGTTTTCACTCTTATGTAGATCCTGAGAAACTTAACAGAAGACCATGGGGGAGGGGGAAGGGAAAAAAAAAGTTAGAGAGGGAGGGAGCCAAACCATAAGAGACACTTAAAAACTGAGAATAAACTGAGGGTTGATGGGGGTGGGAGGGAGAGGAAAGTGGGTGATGGGCATTGAGGACAGCACCTGTTGGGATGATCACTGGGTGTTGTATGGAAACCAATTTGACAATAAATTTCATATTAAAAAAAATAAATACTCTATCAAGAAAAAAAATTCTCTATTAGTCATATTACTTATCTCTGTTTCAATTGTGAGTTTCTCCTGTTCTTTTATTTGGGACACATTTTTCTGTCTCCTCATTTTGTCAAATTCTCTGTATCTATGTGTTAGGAAAGTCAGCTACATCTCCCCCTCTTACAAGTAGTGGCCTTAGGAAGAAGAGATCCTGTAGTGCCCTGCAGTGCAATGTCTCCTGCTCACCAGAACCTGATTCTTCAGGGGTTTATCTAATGTGTATTGCATACATCCTACTGTTGTGGGTGAACAACATTTGCCTTCAGTCCAGTCGTCTGCAATGGTTTTCTTTGCCTTTTGTGATAAGATTTCATCTCTGTGTTGCTAGTGGGCCAGTCTGGGGCTGCCTTGGCCTTGTGTTGAGTCAGATAAAACATTTGCCAGAGCTGCGGTAGCTCTGAGCTACAGGGTGTCCCCCTGTATTGTCTTCTGAGAAGCTTTTGTTGGTGGGTGTGGCCTGCAGTTAGACCAGATGTCTGCCCCCAGCCCACTGGTGGGGCATTAGACTGATATGTGTGGTTATCTTTCCTTTTCCTTAGGGCAGGAGTCACTTTGGAGTGGTGTTCCTGTTTGCACAGTGCCAAGCCTGTGGCACTGCTTTGGATTGACTCTTGCCAAGGGCATGTTGGAGGAAAGAGGTCTGTAGAAGAACACAGGGTCTAGACATGCAGTTAGCAAGGTTGGTGCTGGTCCTTTGAGGGAGAGGCCTTGTACCTGGGAAAACTCTTGCCAAGGCTGGGATGGAGGGCATGTATCTTCAGAACATGGGTGGTAGCAGGGCACACTGTTACCAAGTTAGGTGGAGAGTGTTGGCACTGTGCTGGTTACCACAGGTGTCTGTACATCTAGGTTGGGGCTTTGGGGAGGGAAATGGCACTTGCCCACCGGTCAGATGTTTATGGAGAGGTCACCCAAAGATCCCCGTCCCTCTAGCACATGCTTTGAGATTGATATTTAAAGTTCTAGGTGTTAAAGTTATGGGGATTTGTCTTTCTAGTGTGGGTTCCCCATGCCTGGGGTACCTAATGGAGGTCTGCTCCTCTCTCTTCTTTTTGCCCAGTGGCATCCCTCCCTCCCAGGGACTGTGGCTTCTGGTCACATCTCTATCCTTCCTACTCTCTTTAGTGTGGTCTCTTGTCTATATTTAACTGTGGAGAGACTGTTCTGCCAGGTTTTGGGGCATTTTCTGGGTTATTTACACTGATGTGGGTGTTATCTAGGTGTATTCACGGGACGAGGTGAGTCTAGGATCCTCCACTCCACCATCTTCCTTGAAGTCTCCACCAAGTTCATCATTTTACAGTTTACAATTCACTCAATTTTAGTATAGTCATGATGTAAAAACTAGATATCTAATCTAGTTAGATGTTGTGTAACAATCACCATGAATTTCAAAATATTTTCAGTGCCCTCCCCAAACTCCATGCCTATTAGCAGTGAATGTCTGTTTCCTCCTGACACTCCATATGCTTAGCCCCGCAGTCCAGTTAACTACCAATGTACTTTCTGTCTTCGTGTTTTTGGCTGTTCTGGATATTTCATTTAAATGGAATCATACAATATGTGTCCTCTGTGTCTGGCTTCTTTTGCTTAACAAAATGTTTTCAAGGTTCATCCAGCCATAACATGTATCAGAACTCTAGTCCTACTTATGGCCAAATAATATTCCATTGCATTGATATTGGCATTTTTCCATCCATTTGTTACTTGATGGGCATTTAGTTTTTTCTACTCTTTGTCAGTTATGAATAATGCTTCTATGAACATTTGTGTACCAGTTTTTTCTAGATATATGTTTTCAATTCTCTTGGGTATATGCCTAAAAGTGATAGTTTTGGGTCATATGGTAACTCTGTTTAACTTTTTGAGGAACTGCAAATGGTTTTCCAAGGCAACTGCACCATTTAGGTTCCCAGCAGCAGGTTATGGGGATGTAATTTTTTCCATATCCTTCCCAGAACTTTTTATTTTCCAGTTTCTTGATGTTCTTGTTTATTTCATTTCATTTTTTTTTTTTCAACGCTTATTTATTTTATTTTTGGGACAGAGAGAGACAGAGCATGAACGGGGGAGGGGCAGAGAGAGAGAGAGACACAGAATAGGAAACAGGCTCCAGGCTCTGAGCCATCAGCCCAGAGCCCGACGCGGGGCTCGAACTCCCGGACCGCGAGATCGTGACCTGGCTGAAGTCGGACGCTTAACCGACTGCGCCACCCAGGCGCCCGTCATTTCATTTTTTAAAAAAGATTTTATTTTTAAGTAGTCTCCACACTCGGTGAGGGGCTTGAACCCACAACCCTGTAATCAAGAGTCACATGATCCACTGACTAAGCCAGCCAGGCACCCCTCATTTTGTTTTTGATTCTAGCAATCCATGAGGGTATGAAGGGGTATCTCAATATGGTTTTGATTTTGTATTTCCTTTAATGACTATTGACGTTGAACATTTTTTCTTGTGCTTGTTGGCCACTTGGAGAAATGTCCATACAAACCCATTCTTCACTTTCAATTGGGTTGTTTATATTTTTATGATTGAATTGTATGAGTTCTTTATATATTCTAAACACAAATCTCTTATCCGATATATAATTTGACAATATTTTCTCTGTTTACATTGTCTTTTAATTTTATTGATGGTATCATATGAAGAACAAAAGTTTAATTTTAATTAAGTCCAATTTACCTATTTTTTTGTTTTGTTGTGTCACTGATTTTTTTCCCCCAAAAGCCCTGTATGTTAAGCTTTTTTCACAGAGTGTACTCTGAAATAGGTCAAATAAAGATGAGTCCTGGTAATGGAGCTTTTAAGTGAGCCATCAGAGAGGCAAATCTCTGGGGATAGGGCTTTTAGGGATCTCCAAATCCATTATGTCTCCTCCGGTGGCTGCTAAATTGCTATTTTTTACAGGTACTATAGTTGTGAAACTGTTGAATTTAAGGCTCCCATAAAGCTGAGGAGAGAGGGATGGGATTAGGGTGTGTTAGAATGCCACCAGACTTATTGTTCTTATTAAGATTCATCTGTTTTTCTTGAATAAACACTTCTCAGAATGTAGCGGGCCTTTAGTTAATTTCCATAGTTCCAATAAATTTATTTTAAGAGTTTTTGTTAGTGTTTTCATTGCTTTTATGGAGGAGAAGATTTTGTGGGGATTGTTACTACATTTGGAATGTCTACATCAAAAAGTGAATTACTGATAAACAGAAAACTCGGATACATCTCAGGAAAATTATGCTGGGTGAAAAAAAAAGTCTCAGAAGGTTACATACCATATGGTTCCATTTACATAACATTCTGTTAATAAAAAAAATAGGTATGGATTACAGTCTAGAGTTGGCAAGGGTTATGGAAGTGAGGAGGGAAAAGGTGTGTTTATAAAAGCAGAGCAGTTATGAAAGTCCTAGATGGCACCTTCTTCCAATAGAAGGCTATTTCATCTACACTGAAAATCTGTTGTTTAGTGTAGCCACCTTCATTAATTATTTTAGTTATATCTGGATAACTTGCTGCAGCTTCTATACCAATACTTACTGCTTCACCTGGCACTTTTATGTTATGGAGACAGCTTCTGGTTTTTTTTTTTTTTTAATGTTTATTTTTATTTATTTTGACAAAGACAGAGAGAATCCAAAGCAGACTGTGCTGTGAGCATGGAGCCCAACGCAGGGCTTGGGCTCACAGTTTGTGAGATCATGACCTGAGCGGGAATCAAGAGTCAAAGGCTTAACCAACTGAGCCACCCAGGTGCCCTGAGACAGCTTCTTTCCTTCAGCCTCATAAATCAATATCTGCTTGCTTCACATTCTTTTCTGCAGCTTCCTCACCTCTCTCAGCCTTCCTAGAACTGAAGAGAGTTAGGGTTTTGCTGTAGATTAGGCTTTGGCTTAAGGGAATGTTGTGCCTGGTTTGATCTTCTATCCGGACCACTAAAACAGCAATAAGGCTGTTTCACTTTCTTATCATTCATGTGTTCAACGGAGTAGCACTTTTAATTTCCTTTAGGAACTTTTCCTTTGTGTTAAAAACTTAGCTGTTTGGTGCAAGAGACCTAGCTTTTGGCCTATTTTGGCTCTTGACATACCTTCCTCACTGAGCATAATCATTTCTAGCTTTTGATTTAAAGTGAGAGAAGTGCAGCTCTCCCTTTCCTTTGACCACTTAGAGGCCACTGCAGGGTTACTCAATGGCCTAATTTCAATATTATTGTATCTCAGGGAAGAGGGAGACCCAAGGAGAGGAAGACAGGGAAACAGCAGGTCAGTGGAGCAGTCAGAACACACAAAACATTTATCAGTTAAGTTTTCCATCTTATATGCGTGAGATTTGTGGTACCCCAGAACAGTTACTATAGTAACACCAAAGATTATAGACCACCATAACAAGTATAAGAGTGAAAATTCAGAAATATTGCAAGAATTACCAAAATGTGACACAGAAACACAAAGTGAGCAGATGCTATTGGAAAAATGATGCCAATAGATAGACTCAGTGCAGGAATGCCACAAACTTTCAATTTGTAAAAAACAAAAACAAAAACAAAAAAACAACCCCCCCCCCAATATCTGTGAAGTGCAATAAAACAAAGCACAGTAAATCAAAGTGTGCCTGTATTACAAAACTATAATAATTATAACCGTATGCCACTGGCATAAATATAGACACACAGATCAATGGAACATAATAGAGAGCCCAGAAAAAAACTCCTGCATATAAAGGCAATCAATATTTGGCAAGGGAGCCAAGAATACCCAATGAGAGAAGGAGAATCTCTAACAAATGGTGCTGGGAAAACTTGATGTAACCACATAGAGAAAAATGAACAGGATCTTGAGCTTAGAGATCTTATTTTAAATACTTGGTTGTGCCTCACCTTTCTCCAAATCTTCTGAGTCTCCTGACAAGCAATTCAGTTGACTGATTCCAGCTCTCCATCCTTTATCTTCTCTTGAACATTCACAAACACAGCTGGTAGACAGCCAGCATGGAAAAAAGGAAGGACCGGAGTTCCTAGAAAATCAGAAACTGACTATATTAAGAGTCTTCGACATTTCAGAGACCTCAAACATTATATCATAGTTATTTTCATATTGATTCCAGCTGTGATTCAAAATTTCATGATGAGAAATGTATACAGACTTTTGATAAATTTAGATTATATTTTGAAGTAAAATGACATAATCATATCTTTAAATCTGAACCTCAATACTGTGCAAACTGATTCAAATTTAGAGACTGCTTTATTGCTCCTCAAACATATATTAAAAAGGTTTTCAGTAAACACATAGAATCGAGGTAGTGTTTGAGAAAGTACACTTTATTATTACCTTGACATATTTAATATCATAGCTGTGAATTTAAATATAAGAAAACTTTGACATTTATTAAATTAGCTCAGTGCTCTGATTTCAGATTACTGAACTGTATCTGAACTGAAATGGTCAAAATATAATACTAAAGATAAATAGTATAAATATCAAATGTAATACTAAAAAATCATACCATGTCTTTTGATATATAAAATTTATAATTTGATCACTGGAGGTTTTCTTGGGTTTTATTTTGAACTAAAACTAATTTTTCATTTTCTTCCTCAATTATGCTGAGATGACTTTGTGTTAAGTCTGGAAATCTCTTTATTCAGAGTTCTTAGTATGGGGTGCAGAGATTCCAGATTTAGTGCTCTATGGTGCATAAAAACTAGATTGGAGGACAGAATATATCTCAAGCAGAACAGCTGAGATTTTACTTTCCCAGTCCTATGCTTATGGTGGTGTACATGTTGAAAAATGGTGTAGATTTCATCATAAACGATACTTGGGAGGCAAGAGGGTGCACTAGAAAGTGCCCTGATTTAAGAGAGAGGAAACATAGTTCTAATCCCAGTGTTCTTAATAACTAGCAGTGTGACCCTTGCTATATTATTTAAAGTTCTTTAGGTTTAAATAAGAAAAGTATTCTATGATTCTAATTGACAAAAAATCAAGAATCACCTAGTGATTAAAACAATATAAAGGGGTGTCTTGGGTAGCTCAGTCAGTTGAAGGTCCCACTCTTGAGTTCAGCTCAGGTCATGATCCCAGAATCGTGGGATCAAGCCCCACATCAGGCTCTGCACTGGGTATGCAGCCTGCTTGAGATTCTCTCTCCCTAAAACAATATAATTATATAAAGAAATTCAAGCTACCTAAATATTATTTTTAAAATAGAAATTTTTGTAATATACATTATATTGTTAAAATCTAAGATATGTGCAATCCTATTTTACAGTAACAGCTCCAGTCTTAAATGTTTTTCTCAACTCTGTTCAAGGCACTTTGATTGGTGTTATGAAGGATATAAAGATGAAGTTGACCCTATCTCCCCAGCTCTTATGAAACTCACCTTTGAATAGGTGCGCCCTCTCCTCCAAGCTGTTCCCTTTCTTTCAGCAGAAAAACTTGCATCCTAATTCAAATAAAGAATTAAGAAATACATCTCTATCTCTGTGAGATTATTTCTTTTTAAATTTCTTTTTTGTTAAGAAATTTTTAAAGTTTTAATTTATTTGAAGTAATCTTTATATCCAACGTGGGGCTCAAACTCATCACCCTGAGATCAAGAGTCTACGCTCTTCTGACTGAGCCAGCCAGGCCAGGTCCCTCTCTATAAGCCTCCCTTTCTTCCTCCAAGGTTGGAAGAAGAAGGGTTGTGGCTCTTGTTCCGGTATGATCCTGGCCCTTGTGCTTTGGTCCATCTCCTCCCTTCTTCTGAGCTTCTGGGCTCAGGCTCCTCATTACTTTCTCAATGGATTTTTTCCCATGCATAGTAAAGTTTTTAAGACTCAAAGCAACCAAAACCATGACCTGAGGTATTTTCTCCTTCACTAGGTACCATCCAAGCTTGCAAAGAAGAGCCCATGCTTGCTTTTCCACTTCCTCACATCTTACCATGTGAGGGAAGATAGATTACCGTTGACACTGTGTTGTTGTCCTGCTGGATATCTCACATTCTGGATTTTGCTGATTGCTTTTTTATAGGGATTTTAATTCATCCTTCTGGCAGGTCTTTCCTGTCAACTGGAAGTTTGTTCTAATGGCTTAATTAGATTCAGGCAGAACATTTTTGTCAGCGCAGGTTTTATAAGAGCATGAATTTTTTTATTGTTGTTGTGTTATAAGAAGGGCTGTGAGGCTCGAACTTGCCTGTGTCCTTTAGTGGCTGGGTATACCTATATTTGGCACGTGGCAAAGCTTCATCTCACTCATTCTAATTAATTCTTTCTTGGTTTCTGCCCCCAAGCAAATCTTCAAATCTGAAACTTCTTGCAAAATACCACCAGTGACCAAATCAAGTTTCTGTGATGTGACATGGTTGGCTGTACCCTGAAGCAATACAGGGAAGATGTGTTACAGAACTGATTACTGTGGTGAGAGACTGGGGTTCAGTCCAGCAGGGGGCCCTCTGAAGATCCATGTACAAGGCACTGCACAGCTGTCCCTTTCTTGAAACTGGGATGCTGTAGCATAGATCTACCAATTCCCATCATCCCTTGCTTAAGGACTGTTTTGGGGGCATGCACTTCTCCTTGAACTCCTGTGCTGTTGCAAGAGCACTGCCAAAGAGAACCATCTTTCAAGAGAAAACCTTGAGCCAGAAAAGCAAAGTGGCCTGTTATCATGGTCTGGGAGTGCCTGCCATAGCTTCAGCTGAAATCAGAAGTTGGTGTGACATGGGACACCCCATGCATCTACCAGTGTCTCCAAATCTGATCTGACTCCTAGAGTCTCAAATACACTGACAGCACTGTCCACTTAGTCAACCATGACAGAAACATCTAATTGCCCTTCTTCATTCTCTTTTTCCTTTTGGTAATATGGAGAGCTCTTGGGGTGTGGGATGAGTGAAAAGACTAAGCAGTAGGTGTCCAGAGAAGAGGGGACTGGAAACGAGTTCAGGCATGCAGGGAGAGAACCCTGACCTCTGAAAGCTGAATTTCTGCCATTTCTAGGAATACTTGGGATGAGGCAGACCTGAATGACAAGGATGTGATGAGTGTGTGTGAGTGTGTGTGTGTATGTGTATCTCAGGGGCACATTTGTTTGTGAAAAATCATTATCTAGGATTACGTGGAATTTAACTTGTGGGTGTGAACTTATTGTGGAAGGAGGGAGATTTGAAATGACCACCATTACAATAAAGCCTGAATGCTGTTGTGAATTGCCTGTATTTGAATACAGGAAGCCTGGACATGTCTATTTTAAAATATGTTAGTTTATTTCTATTTAGTAATAGACACCGAGTTTTAGCTGGGCACAGAGCTACCCCTTTAATGACTATTTCCCAGTCGACCTTGCAGGTGGATATGGTGATAAGACTAAGTTCTCCCCAGTGAAAAATGGCAAAATTATATAAAAGTCCATTAAAGAAGGAATTGTTTGCATTTCCTCTTTCTTCTTTCCTGCAGGCCACAATATAGACATAATTCTAGTGAGTGTGCTTTGCCTGTGAAGATGAGGACAACTCACTAGGAGTTGGAGGAAAAATGATAAAGGAACCTGGACTCATGAAGAACTTACTGGGCAGAACCACCGTGCCAGCCCTATTACTACTCACTTCTGGACTCAATGGACAGAAACAGGTTTCCATCTTTGATCTTAGGGCCTCTTTGGCACAGAAGTTTGGCTTATACACTAACACAATATCCAAGCAAGAATCTTGGGAGATAGTCTATAGTCCTTCCTTTCTCATATACCCGATGGCTCTCTGCATCCCCAAACATACAATTATAGGTCCAGCTCAATCTCTTTAACCTTTCATATCTGTGTCTTCCTAGTCAAGCCCACCACTGCCGCCCCTACTGAGGACCACATCATCTCACTGGACTACAACAGCATTCCCTTAACCATTCTTGCCCCCACAGTCTTGCACTGTCAATTCATTCAGAAGAGTCTCAAGAAAACAAATTCAATTGTGTCAAGTCCCTACTTAAAATTTCTCCATAAATTCACACTCTATGCAAAAACTCCTTGCCATGGCATACAAAGCTTCCATGATCTGATCCTAACTAACCAACATTGCCAGGTTGTTTTCATTCCAGACTTCCCCTCAAATCCTAGGGTCTGGTCAAAACAAAATACATGCTGTAACCTGAAGATTCCCATTGTTGGAACTATTACTGTCTGTAGGAACTATAACTCTTTATTGAAGGTATTTCCTTAACTGTCTTCCTCAACATTCTTATCCCCCAACTTCATCTATTACAAATGATGGCTATCCAGACAGGAATATCTGCCAGAGATATCAGAAAATACTGCGTTTTCCCTCTAGGGTTTGTAAGTTGGTAGGGTGTGGGTATTGGGCATCCTGGGAATAATTTTGGCTGCCATGTCATAAAATCTAGCCTGACAGATGATACAGTAGAGATTGCGATTTATACAATATCTGTCTTCAGCATTCTACAAAAAGGAATCTGTAAATTTTAACGTGATACATGTTGACCCAGAATAAAAGACTACCTCTCCCGGGCACTCTCTCTCTCTTTTTTTAATGTTTATTTTTAGAGAGAGAGGAGAGAGAGAGAGAGAGAGAGAGAGAGAGCGAGCATGAGAAGGGAAGGGGCAGAGAGAAGGAGAAAAAGAATCCCAAGCAGGCTCCAGGCTCCGAGCTGTCAGCAGAGCCTGACACGGGGCTCAAACTCACAAGCTGTCAGATCATGCCCTGAGCTGAAGTCAGATGCTTAACCAACTGAGCCACCCAGGCACCCCTCTCTCAGACCCTCTTGCAGTTAAGTGTGGCTACGTGGTTAAGACCTGGCCAGTGTCATGTGACTGGAAGCGATGTATGCAACTTCCCTTATAGGGAAGGGTCGTGTCCTCCCCTTCCCCTCTTCCTTATAGTTGGAATATGGACATGAGTGTAAACCAGCTTGGACCATGTGGACCAAAACTATACCCTAAGGATAGCAGAATGGGAAAACAGAGAGCCTGTCCTCACATGACTTTTTAGATGAGGGGCAACATAACAGATTGGAGTTTTATAGGAGAATCCTCTATCTTATTAAAACAGCTCTAGGGTCTCCACATACATACAACAACACCTAGATCATAACTAGTGTATAACTGAGAGGAAAACATTACCCCATGGTATCTTCTCTATACAAAGACAGCCATAAGGACATTGAGCCTCTGATCAGACTGTGCCTTGAAGTAAGAGCCATTGTTATTTGCTAGTTACTTCAGAATTAAGGAATAGTTTTCTCTCCCCTCCCTCAACACTCTGGACTAAGATATGGTGGTTTCAAGCTGCTAAAATTGCTTTGGAGGTGAATCTATAAACTGTTAATTCCATTGCAGAGGTGACCATCCAGAGTAGGAACGGTTACTGAGAAAATGTCTCAAAATGGTGGAAATGATATGCTACAATATCTGTTCCTTACCCACCCTGTGTCTAAGGCATGTTTAGTCCATAAGGTTAAAGAAACAAGGAACTGGAGCTGATGGCATAGATAAGGGTGACAGGATGGCCCAGAGTCAAGGAAAGGACACAGAACCTATTGCCAATATGGTTCTCTAAGACTTGGCAGCTTTGATGACCACCATTTTTCTCCTTCATCAAAAAACAACAAACAAAAACCTAGTTTGTACGAATTTAACCATTTGATGGTTCTAAAAGTAGCTTATCAATTCTCTTAGGATTGCTAGTTACATTCTCTAGAAATAATTTTTCCTAATACTTTCCTGCTCCATCATATTTGCTATAATGAATATTTCTTGAAATTAGTTGTAATGATGAAATGGTGTTGTTGAAGACGTGGGTGAGATCTGATGGGAGGACAGAGGCAAAGTGAAACAGCTAAGAAACAACATAAAATGATCCCCAAAGTTCAAATGTAGGCAGACTAGAGATGTCTACATTCTGGTGACCACACTTTAGAATCTCAAAGACAAACTTTCTTTTAAAGTTTAGTGGACTGGGGCACCTGGGTGGCTCAGTCGGTCAATCATCTGACTCTTGATTTCGGCCCAGGTCATGATCTCACAGTTTGTTGAGTTTGAGCCCCACATCGGGCTCTGTTGCTGACTGCATGGTGCCTGCTTGGGATTTTCTCCCTCTCTCTCTAAAATAAATAAACTTAAGAAAATGAAAAAAAAAAAAAAGTTTAATGGACTAATATAAGGCTGCAAACTTTTTATAAATTTCTAACTTATGAACGTTAAAACAAGTTCCATTAAATAATTTTACAATTCATTCATCCACGTTTTATATATTTTCCTCATTTCAGTACAAATTGATAAAAATGACATCAGGCAAAGCACTGGTTTCTAGTTTAATGAGCAGTGAGTAGCAAATTGATTATATTTTAAATAGATTTCTTATGGGTAGATGCCCTCTTCCAACCACCTATTAACCTGGTCATTAGGAGATAAACAACTCTTGCTACTTAGGTATATGTCTAATAAAAAGCTATGATATTGGCACTTTGAAACATCTGGAACCTATATTTTGTTTTGAATTCTCGTTATACACAGTTGTCCTAGATAGTAATCATATGCATAACATATACGCAGAAAGAGGATTCTAAGTCGGTATAGAAAAAATTTACAGGCTATAAGCATCTATTCATTTGTTTACACCACTTACATTTACTTAACTATTCTTTTTGTTAATGTTTATTTATTTTTGAGACAGAGCACGAGTAGGGGAGGGGCAAGAGAGAGGGAGATAGAGAATCCCAAGCAGGCTCCACAGCGGTCAGCACAGAGCCCAAGAGGGCTCTAACTCACGAACCATGAATTCACGATTTGAGCCAAAATCAAGAGTCGGCCGCTTAACTGAGCCATGCAGGCGCCCAATAGTTACTTAACTATTCTTGTGTTAATCATGAAGAAATTTGCACTGCAGAAATGTCAAATTTGTCTCAGTTGTGAGGTACCCATTAATATTCACATCCCTTTCAGATAGTAAGTATATAATATCTCTTTAGCTCTATTTTGGGAACGACTTAATAATGCTCTTCTCCCCTTACAAACATTTGAGCAATATGCCTTGTGAAAAAAAATGTAAATTCCTTTTGTAGAAGTGTTCTTGGGACTCTGTCACAAGTGTTCTTATCCTGGGTGTATGGAAGAACTTCAGAAGTGTCTTAACACCCTTAAAATTATGAAAACATGAACATGTACATTTTTCTGGGCAATGAGTCAAAAACTTTCGACACATTCATCAGGTCCAGGTACAAAGCAGAAAAAACATTACAACTAGATGAGAAAGAAAGGAACTATCATTTAAATTTAATCCTAAACCCAAATTAAGCAAATTATTTGCTAAATTAGTCTTTTATCCTTCTGAAAATGCCAATGACACTTATCACTTGAAGTATGTAAAATAATTTGGATTCTCTGAGCTTTTCAGACATAGAGATACAAAAAAATAATTAAGATCCTTCTAAATCTCACAAAGAAGAGCCCCTGCAAACAATATTTTATTGAGCATTTGCTAAAAGGTGTGTCAATTAATTGTAAAACTGAGACAAAGTTGCTTTCCCATCAAGAAGGGACTTCAACATTGCTAGCTGGGTCACTTGCTGCACAAGCAAGGGTATTCTACATTTATCAGAAACACTAAATTAAGAGTTCAGAAGGCCTGGGTTCTAGTGCCATTTTTATTTGTAACTAACCATATACAAATCACTTATCTATAAAATAATGGTTAACATCTATTCCCTAATTCACAAATATATCACGAAACCAAAATTCTTCCCCCAAAAAACTTCTTTGTAAACCACAGTATTACTGCTAATTAGCTTGTACTTAACTCGAAGGATGAAAATGACAAATTACAGAATTTGTCTTGTATCAATTAGTTGCATACCTTAATTCTGCAGATGGATAATCTGGTTGAGATCAGCACTGTCCTACTTCAACCTAACAAAACAAAAAGCTATCAAAAAGAAGTTACTAGTGAAGAAATTTGGCCAAAAAATAACACTATTAAGAAACAGCTTTCTAAGCTGAGACCAGTGCTTATAACAACATCCCTGATATCACAACGAACAAAAAGTAGCCTTAGGCCACTAGAGCATGTTTACTGTTTTGAGGGAAGACATTCTTAGGAACATATTGCTAGAGCAAGAATCTTATTTCTCTAGAAATAATGTTAAACAGGAACGTCCTATGGACTCTTCAGATGCCCAATGAAAATGGCTAAGAAAACATTTGTGTGCTTGTTTTTTTAAATCCTTTTCTCTCTCCCTCTCTTTTTTCATTCAAAATTCAGTTCCCTATCCTGGAGCACACTTCTCAGTACTGTGCCATGGTGTAAAAAATGCTGGCATTCGGCTACTAGAGAATAAACAGAAGAGGAATTAACATGTGGAACAAAGATGCAGAAAGAGGATTCTACGTCGGTATAGAAAAATTTATAGGCTAGAAGCATCTATATTATGTACACCATTTATCACGGATATGCATTGTGACAATCATATGTGTTAAGAGACCCTCAAAAGGTAAGCACCTATATTTCTCTGTATTTAACAAGATCAATTTTGTGTGATTTAGTCTCTATTTCTGGATTTTCCCTTACTTTATGGTGATACAAAAACAAACAAAGAGACAAAAAACAAAGACTGCAGCATGGTTCACAGAGAAATACCCTAATAAAATAACCTTGTATATATACCACTGCTAGGGAAATATTTTAGAGGAAACATACTTTCACTATTGGCCCCAAATGCCATCATCCACTTATGTTCTTTAACTGTCAACTTTTAATACAAAAATACCTTCAAGCTGATAATCATATACAGTGACTGACAAAACTTGATAGAACATTTCAATGCTACACAAAACAGCTCCATACACAGCTTAAAGTTTTAAAGTTCTCTGCTGGCACTTGATTTTAGAGTTGATAGACGCAGCAACCACTGATCTCAATAAAATATTCTTTTTAGCTTAAACGTATTTTCAAAACCAGTATTACCTCACAAAAACAGTAAAGAATAAATCACTTCCTGCTGAAGAATCCTCTAAGATGAACACTAAAACTATACAGCCAAAATATTTTAGGAGAGCATATAAACTTTTTAAGACTAGGAATGACCAATGGATAAAAATTTACATTACTCAAGCATATGTCCAGTGAACAAAAGGATTGTTCCTTTGATTCAATGAAGCATGTACAAGAGATAGATTAAAAATATGATCTTACAAAGCAAGTTACTTTTTCTTTTTCTTTTTTTTCCTTTGGTTTAGAAGGGTGTTTAAATAATTGGTGACACTACCAGAATGGATGTTTTTTAAGATAGAAAAATGGTCACTTTTAGAAAATACATTTTATATTCCAAAATTAAAAGTGAAATTTCTTTTAAAGCAGTAGAATCCTGATTTTTTTTTTCACTTTCTGTGATCGCTTAAGACCATTCTGCACATTATCAAAACGAAATCTCTATTTTATAACCTCTATATATATCCGATTTTTTCCTTTGCATTGAGGAGAAAACCAAACCAAATTGAACAAACTATATTAACTTATAATACTAAAAACTGGCTAGTTCAAAACTTGGGAAATCTACTTTCATTACTCTGAAGGAAAATATAAACCTTCAACTCCCTACAAACAACTTCTAGTCCAATTTTATACTATGAAAATTAAAAAGTTAAATTCCTTGCAGCACTAAACAGAATTATGAAGTTAACAGAAGACTAAGGTAGATCGTTAAAATATAAACAGTGTAACTAACCAAAACAATCCACTGGTGCAACAAATACTCAAACAACGAAAAAAACCACCAAGCATTCTAATCAATTATATAGTTTGTTTTTTGCATATTTTAATCTCAACTTTTAGCACAGTAAATTATTATATAGTTTGATCTCCTGGACTGTTAAAATTTTGTAACATTACATTAATAATTCAAACATAACCCTTTCTAAACCAAATCTGCAGTCCTAATCAACATTTTTTTTTTTTTTGGAAAAGGAAAGGATATCTTTTAAAGATACATTCCATAGCAGTAGAAACATCTTAGTGATTCAAAATATTTACAAAGAACCCTGCTGATCCTGTGCATTTCGCTGAGGTGCTACCTGCACCCAGACTTCATCGTCAGAAAAAGAACTTGAACTTCCTGACTCTGAGTCCAGCTCACTGAATCCATCTAAGTCCCATTCAGTACTAGATTCACTCCGTGCATCGTCTTCCTCAGTAATGAAACTCTGCCCAGGTTCAAGGCAGGAAGGATAAACGCGAGCACATAGGCAAATAAAACCAGAGTCAAACTGCAAAAGACCTAACATGGTACCTATGTTAATCCACTGGTCTTCCCTGGTATCGTATTCATAAACAGTCACCCGGTTTTTTTTCCACTGAGGGGTGGTAGAAGTGATGAGAAGCAACTTTTGGCCATGATTGACAATCTGGTAGTTGTGGGTCTCTGAGTCCAAGGGAATATTACTAATCCGCCTCCATTCTCCCCTGGCTGGGTTATAGACCTTCATGACTGGAATGTCACAGATACAGTAGATCTCGTCGTTGAAGACACAGGCTTCCTGAAAGTCACTACGTTTAAGAGAAGCACAGTTCAGCCACATATTATGGCTAGGATCATAGCACAGCATGCGCTTACTGTTCACAGCATAAAGATAGTTCTGAACCACTATTAGTTCAAAGGAATAGAAGGAATGGGGCACAGGAGCCACCAGTGCCCACTGGTTTCTCTGAACACTGTAGCATTCCACTTCCTTCAATTTAACGCCGGTAATCGGGTCTCGCCCACCCAAGATGTAGATGTAGCCATTGAGGTAGGCCACATCCATGCCCTCGCGACACAGCAGGCGGTCGGCAAGCTGCTGCCAACTATTCTGGGCTGGCTTATACACCCACAGGTCTTTCCGGGGCTGGGCAGCCAGGTAGATGTCATGGTCTGGAGAGACACAGACAGCTGAGGAGGTGATAGTCTTAGTGTGAGCCAAGCTGGTTAAAGGGGATGGCATTGTGTAAATGTCCCCTGAGTATGGGTCATAGCAGAGAAAGGGGTCTCTAGGGTGTCCAAAGAAGATCACCATCTCCTTGGCACACATACCCAGTCTCTGAGGTGGATTTTCTGCTACAGATACAATAGAGCTGCTGCTGCTCTCTGGCTTTGGTACCACAGACTTGTACAACATGTCACCATATCGCATCTTCAGGGCCCCTTCGATAAGGTCCAGACAGTACTTCTTCACAATGGGCTTGGTCAGCAGCCCTTCCAGGTAATCCTGATCTTCATCTCTGAAGTGTGTCCAGCGGACACACTTGAAGACTTCCGCAGCGTTGGGACCGCGCTCCTTGGGAGCCGTCTCTAACCACTGCATTGCTACATGACACACTGTCCGCTCACTCTCTATGTCTAGACTATCCAGACGCAGCACGGCCAACAGCTGGGCCAAGCTCAGGTCTGCCAGACTCTCCTCCCGAACTGAACCCATCCGGCTGAGCTGCTTGAAGTTGTGGGCGATGAAGGACTGGGCCTGTGATCGCAGCTTGTGATGGTCGAAGGCATCAGCGAACTTGAGGATGGCAGTGCAGTTGGCCAGGTCAAGGCGGCGGGCTAGGAAGGAGGCACAAGCTTCCCGCACG